GTAGGTCAGTAATGGCTTCATTCATAGTCCCCTAACCATGTTATCAGATGTCTTTTTGCAAAGATCTGACTATGTACTATTCAACAAAATGGTTAGTTTAATATTCTCTAATCATTTCTATGAAGAAAAAGTCCTAGCTTCATTTTTGTCAAAAATTATAGCCTTACATTATTGACTTCTTATTAAGCTGCTTAGCCTTTATTTCATTCATCACATGTGAATGCATGATTAAATTGATCATAACGATAATGTTTTTATAAGTAATTATTGCAGCGGCAGCAAAAGCTCTGAACGTGAAGAAACGGATCGTAAGAGGAAACTTTAGTCAGAAAAAGCGCAAGATATGGACAGTGGTTCAATTTAGACGACCTAAGACTTTAATTTTGCCCAGAAATCCGAAATATCCTCGACGGAGTGTTCCGCGACGAAATAAGTAAATGTGTTTTTGTTTAGATTTGTTGTTTCTGTTTTTTTGTTAAAATTACGTTACCCTTGCTCTTTTCTGAAGTCATCCATTTTTTTTGTTTTCCAGCTATATGGGGGCTCAATATGTCAAAAGGAATTGGCTATCGACCTCTCATGATAGAATAGCAGTACGCTGATGCTAGTTCCAAGCCTCTAGTACTCTCCTCTTCTTGTCTCACCGCCGGACCATGTTTTTTTAGTATCCTTCTTACTGGGTGTAACTCATTTTGAATTGCCCAAACTTCTGCTGAAAATTCATTTTTATTCTATTTACAAGCCCACTTTAAGTAACTTTTTTTCTGTTCTCATGCAGCGTTATTCTGATTTATTCATTATGAATTCTGGTCAGTCTGGGGAATTGGTTTGATTTGTTCGAGTTAACTATCATTATTATCAGTTGCACTTATACTTAGTTTGTACTTAACATTACTATACCATAGAACTAGAATTGAATAAAGTAGTAAATTCATTGCCTTTTAGGAGTTGCTAAACTTCCAGTACTTAGTTTATTCGTTATTAAATACTCCAGAGACATGCTCTATTCGTTGATATTTTATTGCATAGGTTAAACAATCTGTTGCTCCTCCAGCTGTTTTCATTTTGCTGAGATGTTTCTATCTTTACGTTCCTTCACTTAATTTTGTATCGTTGCTTTCGATCCCAATTGCGAACTTTTTTTCAAGCGATTCTATAGGCTATTGCAGATTTTTTCTTTATTAAGTGATAAGTAAATCATAAATTTGTTTGTTTTCAACGTTTCTGCAAACAGCTAAATTGTTTTTCTTTTAGACACGTGCTTCATAATTGTTTTTAATAAACAAATATAAATGATCCATGCTGGTTTGACTTCTGTTATTTGAAGCATTCGGTTAGTTCTGTTTCTCCTTTCTACAACACTAAGTGTCCTGTAAAATTTTTTTATTAACTTAAACAGTCATACTCTTTCTGAATCGATCCCCGTCCAACAGCTTATTTTTCAAATGCTTCTTAAGGCCTGCTTGTTTTAAAGAAAATGTTGTACAGCATCTTATTGGATCTAATTGGATTCTGTATACCCCTCTGCTACTGCCTTAATGAAAAACTTGCCACCTTAGACTGGATCATTATGCGATCATCAAAAATCCGATAACCACGGAGTCTGCAATGAAGAAGATAGAAGACAACAATACCTTAGTATTTTTGGTCCACCTGAAAGCCACTAAGCCGCAGATTAAGGCTGCCGTCAAGAAGCTGTACAGCATCGACGTGGCTAAGGTGAACACGTTGATCAGGTACTCTCGCAACGAACAGTGCTTCAGAGGCATAAAGATTTCCTGATTTAGGCCTGACGGACAGAAGAAAGCGTACGTACGATTAGCACCAGATTACGATGCTTTGGATGTTGCCAACAAGGTATATGCTTTATATGTCTGTGAATGCACTTATTTGCATAATTTTTGCGTTTAGATCGGTATAATTTGAAGCGATTTTTCTGTGTTAGCATTTTGTTACATTTTTAAGTAAAATGCTCCCTGAAAGTCGATGTTGTTATCTTCATAATGTATGGTTAAATCGGAATTGACACGAACAGTGACCGAGAAACTTAAATCCAGCCAACACAATATTGCCGTACCTCAGAATCTGATCCACAAGTTTATCTGATTGGCAAAGACGGGTCATTAGGAAGGAATGGAATATTTGGCGAAATACCGAAACAATGCCTCATACTTTTGCATTAGTTTATATTATGTAATGCTTTCGCAGTGACGGTTGGTCGTTGCAGCAGAAATGCCATATCTACTTTCTTAATTTAGCTGTTGGAAATTTACGAAGAAGAGCACTGAGACCATTAATATTTCTTTATTTTTAGCCTTGTCTATAACCGAATGTTATTCATGTTTGGAAACAGGAATTTTTGTAACCCATGGAATGTTGTGTTCTTTATGATAATACCTTTTGTAATTGGGTCGTTCTGAAACTCTTCTTTTCGTCAATTTGACTCTGGGGTGTTGATATCCGTTTACGTGTCTTCAGCGAGGAATGTCTTATTTTAAAGACAAGCTCGATAGCAGCTGTATGGCAGGTATAGTCTAAAGTCTCGTTTCCTTTCCATAGAGTAGTGCTCATTTACTGACTTTGGGAGGATGAAGATGGACTGCCGAGACAGGCAGTCGAAACTGGGGGCCTGTCGGTTCTGAGTCTGATGTACTACCGACTAAACAATCTCTGTCTTGTTTTTTATCTGCTGTAGTGGATCCTTTGATCTTGATTGTAGTTTAAACAAAAAAATAAAATCTTGTAACTGCAAGGAGTGTATTTAATTAAAGGATCAGAAATGCGACAGTCGATAGTATGCTGGTACGTGTTTCTGAACTACAGTCATATCCCGTTAATCACAGTCGGGGAAAATTTATGCCAGTAGGAGTTGTCATAGTTGTAACGCATCATACCAATTCTCTGTAGGTAAACTCATCTTTTAATCGTATGATTGCTGTTACCTTTGCCAAGATCGGACATACAGCAAGCATCTGTTTAGGTGTTCAGTACTCTACATCACGTGGTGTTCCCTATTGTTACTTTGCTCTCTCATAGTAGAAACATAACGTTAATCATCCTGTTTACGAATATTCAGGTCCAAGACTATTACCCGTAACCAACATCAAAATAAGAGGTAAACTGTGTTTGTTGTGCTTTTTGGTACAGTCTTGAACCGTTAAATCGGTCCAAATCCTAAGGTTATCTAAGAGTTGAACGAGTATCGTCCGCCTATTTTGCAGTTGACTTGCATGTAATCTTAATTCTATTAATAGCTGTAGGTTTAAAATTCGCGGCAGGAGTTACTTTGATGAAAAGTTCTGAAAAAATGCAGGTGACTGTAGTGGACTTTTAAGCCTCGCTGCTGATCTCATGGCTCTTTGCAGAGTCCGGAGTACAGATATGCGTGAAAGTTTCGGTGTAACGCCGCTACTTCTTCAGATTGACAAGCCGTAGCTGCGACGGGGACATGTTGTGAACGCTTCCAAATAGGAAGGCAAATAAACTAGTTGCTCAGTCGACCGGCAGAAGTCTCCGGGTGACCAAGAATGACCTGGAGCGAGTCTCTCGGTGAACTTTGCTCAAGGGTCAGGTTATCTTCAGGCGAAGCTGAGACTGTTGGCTGCTGGCTGGCTCAGGACCGGAATCATAAAAACACTTTTTTACGATGCTGCTTCCGTGACTCGAAGGGATAAACGGTTTCGAAGTTGAATAAGTGATGTAATTTTCAGTGCAAAGTAATATGCAGTATAGTTAGTATAAGAAGGGAGTATCAGGAGAATTTGACTGTAATCATGAAATGATAACGAAAGATGTTATGTTTGGTAAAGAAAATATTGTTTTTCTTACAAATTCACTTACTTGAACCATAAAGGATGATGAGTTTTTTGCTGTGATTTCATTTCGTTTCTTGTCTGTGGTAATTTTTTTCGATAGCTGTCCATTTTTTCTTCGCCTGATCTGATCGATTTTCGAGCAACCCGAAAATGTTTACTGCAAATGATAGATGTTAACAATTTTGGTACTCGCGATTGATACATCTAGTTTATTTAGCGAGTACCTGTAGATCATGCGATGAAGCTAAAAAAGTATTTGTCCAAAGAGCAGTTGCAAATTTTGTCATTAGATGTAGTTACATATTCATATAGTTTACTTGGTCTTTACTTTCTATGCAATTTTAAATCCTTACTTCTAGTGTTCCGACATCAGTGAGTAATGGCTAACAAGAGCATCGATTAAAGGCGTTTTAGCAACACTAAAGGTTTTTTTAGCAATTTACCGATGCGGATATGTTAATGAACAGAAACAAAGATGTAGTGTAAAGTAGAAACTTCTGCGAAGTGAGGCATTGCAGCAAATGGGACATGTTGGCATGAAAGATGAATGCTAAGACAGTATTGGCAGCTGTAGCATTATTAGAGAGCGTCTTTAATAGCAGGTGATTCTCGAAAGTTATGTAGCATCCTGTGTTGAACAACTGATTTACAGTAGTAGGGCTGAGCTAGTGAGCAGCGATTGTTAGTTGATGGTTAATTTTATAAGTACTTTACCGTAGGTGCATCATTGCTTAGACATGCACAGGAGGCTGGTGTTTCCATCTTTCAGACAGATAATCCATTGTTGCTGGAAAGCGTCGTTTCTTGTTGTTTTAAAAAACCTTCGAGTTCTGCAACGATCGTTGTTGTTTCCATTGTCATATAACTTCTACGTCAT